TCCCCAGATGATTTTTTTTCTTAAAAAGAATCCACAACACAAAACCTCAAGCATTAGCCTGGCTGGAGAGTTCACAGAAGCCTTAGCACTTGGTGATTTCTTGTTATTCAACAACTTTGTGGTTTCTGTTGGCCTTGCTAGATGTGCACTCAAAGAACAAGAGGAGTTATCTGCTCTGATGACTAGGCCTGGCCTCCAGCACAGAGGCCTGGGAATGAACAAGAGCAAGTCAGAGAAGAGAGCAAGTCCACCCCGGGGCTTCCATGATGCCAGTCCAGTTAGTTTTAGCCCAGAACTACAGTGAACATTGGCTGCCTCTTGCTGACTGGCTCTTGTAGTCCATTGTTAGGACTGCACTGAGGCCTAAGGGCAGAAATGAGTCTTCTGTTCTTTCATCAGCTGTCAGATGGTGGGTGAGAGGTTCTTCTGTGGCATCAGTATATCAGAGTTTGAAGAGTTTGAAATTAGCCACTTTTATTCTCCAGATGATAAACCTGAGGCCCAGAGAGACAAAATGATGTCAAGGAATCATGATCAAGATATTGTAAGCCTGATGCTATTAAGTAATGAGAGAAAAGAGGTCTTTTACTTGAACTTGAAAGACTCAGATTGTGCCAGGTGCCCATGGCTGACGCCTGTAATCCTCGCTACTCAGGAGGCAGAGATCAGGAGGATCATGGTTCAAAGTCAGCCCAGGCAAATAGTTCACAAGACCCTATCTCAACAACAACAAAAAAACCCCATCACAATAAAGGGCTGGTGGAGTGGCTCAAGGTGTAGGCCCTGAGTACAAACTCCAGTTGGCAAAACAAAAACAAAAAAAAAAAAAACCCCCAAAAACTTAGATAGGCAAAAAAATATTCTTTGAAATTCCTAAGACAGAACTAGCATGTAACTAGTATATATGCCACCATGCCTCTGAGCCCTTGCCTGCCCATGGCAGACATTATGAATGGAGCTCAGCGCCTTTCCTCAGTCCAGCTCCCAGCCAGCCTGCAAGCCTCCTAAACCCTGCTGTCAGCCGTCGAATTGCTTCCTTGTGAATTAGAAGCTCTCTGTTCTCCTCTTCTCCAGGATGTACCCACGTGACTCATGATGTGATTGCTAAGAGCACCACAAGCTAGATGTTGGTCTGACTCCTCGATCTGCTTTCTCCTAGCTATGTGACCTTACATGCAACACTTTCCACCTTTCTGGAACTAGATATGGGGAAGTTGAATTAAATAATCCTTATGCATCCTTCCAGCTGGAAGAGAATGTTATGATTCAATGCACATCAACCTCTCAGTCTAGGAATTCCTAGTTACAAGCAGGTATTTGAATAAAGACCATAGATGGTTTGCAGGAAATTTGCATATTACAAATCTATTTTGGATTTTGAAGTATGTGTTTCTGCATTTTCTGACTACTCTTCATCTGTTTGGCCCCATTGACTTCTACATCCCTAAACCCAGAAGCTCACAAAGGGGAGAGGGGCTAGATTCACTTCAAACCAGAGGATTTGCAGGAAAACCTTCCCACCTGAGGAGGCATGGGTGTTCTGCACACCAAGATGAGCAGGCCTCAGTAGCCTGCCCACCCTGCAGGTGTGGTTTGCTTTTTCTTCACCCCTTCCTCCATCTGTATCTCCGGTGACTGGGAGGTCCTGCCATCAGGCAGGTCTCAGGCAGGGTCTGCTTTGGGCCCCCAGCCTCTGTCCAACCCCTGCTCCTGTGCTGACCTGCCTCCCTGTTTGTCTTCTAGGCTCCTCTTCCCTTCGGGCGTACCCCTCCTCTCGGTGATCACCCGACAGCCCACGGTCATCTCCCACTTGATCCCTACCACCCCAGGAATTGCCCCCGTGTTGTCCCGCCACCCTGCTACTGAGGCTGCCTCTGCTGAGGTCCCAGGTGGCGAGGCGTTAGCCAGCAGTGAGTCAGAGGCCGAGCAGCCCACACCCCGGCAGAAGAAGCCCCGCCGGAGTCGTACCATCTTCACCGAGCTGCAGCTCATGGGCCTGGAGAAGAAATTCCAGAAGCAGAAGTACTTGTCCACGCCAGACAGGTGAGGATGCAGGGAGGGGTCTCTGCAGGTAATGACCTTGAGCAGGGCAGTTGTACTGTGAGTGGGATGTGGAGCCACAGAGCACAGTTTCAATGATGCCCAACAACACACTGGCAGGAATTTTATTCCTTAGCCCAAGGTGTCGTCTCAACTGAGTTAACAGATGGCATCCCAGGGAATCTGGCACATTCACCCCCAGGGCCTGCCCGAGGCTGACTGCACACCCTTCGCTCTATCTTTGTATTTTAACCCAACCATTCCAGCTAAACAGCTGACTCAGTTTCCTGGCCTGGCTCTTTCTTGGACAGGCCTGGATTGATCCAGTTGAGGAGGTTTCTGATGTCTTAGTGAATTTGATGGATATCAAGACAGAACCAATGACTGAGGCCTGGGAGGAACTGGAAGAAGATCTGTTCTTTAAATCCCTTGGAGATCCACATGGGGAAGGCGTGACGTTGGATTGCCTTGGAGGCCTCAATGCCCCCCACCCCTGCCTTTAAGTTACTATCTCCACAGCAAAATATGCAAGAACGTGTGTCTTATTCCTTCAACTTACCTGAGATGGTTGGGGGAGGGGTGTTTCCAGGTCCTTTTTCTCTTGTTTTGCTCACTACCTTGTCTATATCAGACCTGGCCCCAGTCCTATCAAAGAAGATCGGAAGGAAACTCAATGAATCTCTGAAGCTATTTAGTAAGTGTGTGATAAAAGCTGAAAAGGAGTATGCCAATCACCCTGTGAATGACAATTTGTCACCAGCCCAGTGGCTCATGTGTGTAATCCTAGCTACTCAGGAGGCAGAGATCAGAAGGATCGAGGTTCAAAGCCAGCCTGGGCAAATAATCCTCGAGACTCTATCTTGAAAAATACTCAACGAAAAAAAGGGCTGTCAGAGTGGCTCAAGAGGTAGAGAGCCTACTTAGCAAGCATGAGGCTCTGAGTTCAAAATACAGTACAGTCAAAAATAAATAAATAAAAATTTGTCTACTGATGCCCTAAGCCATCACCTGAGGGTATCCTATCCTGGGTGCCATGCACTGTGGCAAGGCATCTGAGTCTAGAAGCAGTGGGCAGCCCTCTGCTTTGAAGGAGATTGTGGGGAAGGAATGGCTACAGTAACTGCAGCACCATAAGCTGCTACCAGTGCCAAAGGCACCAGGATCCAAAGATACAGTTGACTGTGGCAGGTGGAGTGAAGGAAGGCTTCTCGGAGGAAGTGGCATTTAAGACCTTTGGTTCTAGGATTTGTGGCTGGGACCTGCTAGCTTACAGCATGAATGGGAACATTAAAGGACATGGGCTGAAAACCTTGTGTGCCTAGCTGAGGAGTGTGGGCTTTGCTGTTCAGGCAGTCAGCAGCTATTAAGAGCTGGAGGTGACACAGCGAGACTGACATGTTAGAACCACAGCTCTGGTGACACCATGACAGATTGGTTAGAGAGGCCAGAGCTGACTGGTTAGAGAGGCGAGAGATGGAGCAGGGAAACCAGTTAGGAGAGAATCCAGGATGGCTGCAGGGTATCGAGAGTGTAGACAGGGGAAGAGAGAGGTGAGGATGGATGTGAGAATTCTTCTGAGGATAGGATGGGCAGATTTGACGTCGGGGAAGGAAGAGAACAGAGCTGAACATTCTCTGGTTCCTGGATTAGGCCACCAGTAAACAGGGATGCCATTAACTGACGTGGGAGAAGGCAGGGGACAGCGGGTCTGGTGGGGAAGGGGTGAGGTCTGCTTTGAACACGCACATTTGGGGGTATTGAGGCAGACAGTGGAGACAGGTCTGTGAATAGAGGATTAATAGACAGGATCCCGGGGTATGAAATGGCTGTTTTGATGTCCCAGGCCGGGTAGCTGGGAGCCTCATGGCCTTCCCACCAGGTTGAGAGGGGACCATTATTTATCAGTTGCGTGGGCTTCGACATGCATGGTTAAAATTTTAGGCTTATGTTTCAGAAGTCAGAGAATTTTTTTTTTTACAGAAATGTTACTTCTTGATAAACCTCCTGGGCTTCTTGATACCTGCCCAGGCATCTCTCAGGTGACCCACACAGGATTGATTCACTCGCCTGGGGAGGAGGACACCATCTGGCTGGTGTCATGGAGGCTGCCGCCAGAACCCGCCCTCTCAGATGTTCCTCCCCTCTCTATGTGACCAGGGCCATGAGCGCTCCCTCCTCCCACAGCTCCTGCCCTCCTCCTCTGTTTGTTTCTCCAGTTTCCTAGGTGACTCCATTTAAGCGAATATGCAGGGAAGTGAGAATGTGTAACGGTGGCAGGTAATGAGAGAAAGCTGATGACAGAGGAGTGTTTCTGTAACCAGTGTGAGTCAAGGACGCATTTTTCCCAAGTGAGCTAACTCAATTTGCTAATGCATTGGCAAAACTGTGAACCTTCCATTGACTAAGGCACCTGATGGACTCAGGTGAACCAGGCCTGGGAAGGCCCTGGGGAGCCTCTGTCCAAGCCTGGGGAGGACCTGTCCCACCACCGGAGCCCAGGGAGGCCGGAAGACCAGAGTCTGTGGGACGGCCCCTGGGTTCCTGGCTCTTGGTAAATGACCATCTAGGACATGAGCTAGGAAGAGCAAGGTGATGTTGGCTTTGGGGATTATTGGCTCCAGTCTGGTAATCACTTCAGTAAAACACTCAGGTGTCAGTAGCCCTTCCACAGGGTTGAGCAGCTGTGTGTGGATGCAGATTTAAGACGGGTTCAGAAGTCTCCTGAAGGCAGACTCTACTTTTATTATGAGAGACTTAATTTGTGCATTCTGGTCAGAGCAGGGGCCGGGCAGCTGCACCTCAGAGCACTGGATCCTCCAGGGCTGGTACCCTCTGGTCCTGCTGATGCTTACATCTCCTCAGGTAGAAAAAGTCGCAGCTGCAAGTTCCATGTAGCGCAAGCCTGTGCAGGCTTGTCTGAAATGCTGGGCCTTATATCTGCTGGGGGCAATTCTCAGAAATCTGGGGACCTTCAAATAGTGATAGACACTGTCTACTCGTTTTACAAGGCCACATTGCTTCACAGTGCAGGGCTGCAGGGAGGTGGCTCACATTGACATGGGGAGAGGGTCTTTCTAGTGGATGCCCAGGTAGACTTAGGCTCTTATCCACTTGGGTATGGGTATTGCCTTGGGGACTGAGGTTGAGAGCCTGGCTACAAACTTCCCTTTCTCATTCCACGGTCACATTTGGGGTGTTTCCTTTCACAGATCTTATGTGTGGGAGGGGAAGAACCTTATCCAGGAGGTGATATTCAAGTCAGACCTAGGTGGACTTGACTCCTGCCTCCACCTCTTCCTCCAGGATCCAGGGGTCAGAAAAGTTTTTCTGCACAGGGCCAAGTAGTAAATATTTCAGGATTTGTGGATCATGTGGTCTGTCACAACTACTCAACTCTGGTGTTGGAGCGCAGAGGTAGCCAAGGGAAGTGAGTAAGTGAATGAACACGTCCCCATTCTACTGAAACCTTTTTTACAGAATCAAGTGGCAGACAGGATTTGGCCACAGTTGCTGAGAGACTGCTATCTCTCCCCAAGTCTTAACTCTCATCTGTAAAATGGAAATAATGACACTACCTTCACAGTGTGGTGAAAGGAAAGCATAAGGTAGCACCTGGCAGGGGCTTAGCATGTAGCCTGGGGTGCTGTGGTGTCCAGGAAATGGTTATTGGCATTAATGTTCACTTTACACTCCCCAGTAATGTGGCTTTGACTTCAGGGCTCTTCAGAAAGTCACAGAGAAATGCAGAAGTCCCCGTGAGCAGTACCGTGGTAAACAGGAGGGGTCATGGACTTAATGTTTCATTGGAATCTTTCTTTTTGGCAATACTGGGGTTTGAACGCAGGACATGATGTTAGCTAGCAGGCACTCTGTCACTTGAGCCACGCCTTAAGCCCTTTTTGCTCTGTTTATTTTGGAGACAGGGTCTCAGTTTTTGCTCAGGTCAGCCTGGATTGCAATCTTACAATTTTATCCTTCCTGTCCTTTGGTGGGATGACAGGCATGTGCCACCACATTCAGTTTTTCTCCATTCAAGATGGGGTTTGGTAAACTCTTTTGCCTGATCTGGCCTGGAACCGTGATCTTCCCAATCTCAGCCTTCTGTGTAGCTTGCAATGACAGGCGTGCATTACCAAGCCCAGCTATTGGTTGAGATGGGGTCTTGCAAATGATTTGCCTCCAACTGTGTTCCTATGGATCTCAGCCTCCTAAGTAGCTAGGATTACAGGTGTGAGCCACTGTCACCTGACTCATTCAAATCTTTAGAACATCCAATCATTTTTAACATTTTGATCACTGTAATTTAAGGCAACTATAGTGAGTCATTGAATGTGCCAACAAGTATTTTTGAGTTCTGCTTCTGGGTTTAGCAACAAGTTAGTTACTTTTTTGGATATAGCCTAAGTAGAAGACTTGCCATTACGGAGGCAGAAATAACACCTGCAAAGTGATTAGAGGACAGTTGAGAACATGGGACCATCTGGGTGACTGCTGGCCTGTGGGAGGGGGCAGAGTAGGGGAGTCATGGGAGCTGGGAGGTAGATCAAGTGATGAGTGGGAGTCCCATGGACGTATGGTCTAACATATGTCAGAGCATGCATTTTGTAGTGGATCAGAATGAGGACTGTTTATTTTTATTTATTTATTTATTTTTGGTGGTGGTGGTGCTGGGGTTTGAACTCAGGACCTCATGTACCGTTTGAGCCACTCCACCAGCCCACAAAAGGACTATATAATGAAGGCTCAGGCATCCTTTGTAAGTCCATTGCAGACAGAGAATGTTACCAGATGGGGACTGTTCCAGATGGCTTTGGGTGTGGCCAACTGTATCTTAGTTTCCAGAGTTTCCTCCATAGGATTTTTGGAAGGAAAGAACCCTTTTGGGGAAGAACTGGTTTAATGGGGGAGATCTGGGCTTTGGTAGTGAGTGCCAGGAGCCAGTTAGCAGGACCCCATCGCCCTTGCTCTCTCCTGTCCTCCTTATCCTTCCTTTGTATCTTGTGCCTTTTAGGTTGGACTTGGCCCAGTCTCTGGGACTCACTCAGCTGCAGGTGAAGACTTGGTACCAGAATCGCAGGATGAAATGGAAGAAAATGGTAAGAAAGGCTAGAGTGAACCTCATGCCCATCCCTAGTAGGGAGAATTCCTACCAGGGTAGGAATGGCAGGAAGGACCATTTGATGGTTTGGGCTGCAAGATGGAAAGGACTTCTAAGATGTGGCTAGGAGGGAGGCTGTATGAACTTGACCTGGATTTTTTTAACCAGAGGGATATCCTTTTTCACAGTTTCCTTAGAAATCAAAGAAGAAAGTCCACAATTTCTCAGCTGCTAGTTTGAGTCCCACTTGCTAGCCTTTTCAAAACAACTTCCTTCCCTTCCCACCAACAGCTAAGAACAGAGGTCAGAACCTGGGTAATACTGACAGAGGACACATCTGTTCTGGTACCATGTATCCTCCAAGGCCACTATCCTCAAACTCAGCAGACCTCAGAGTCATTGCGTGGCAGGTAGAAATGCAGGGTCCAGGCACCTTCCCAGAATTCAGGTTCTACAGGCCTGTGCAGAGCTGGGCATGAGTATATTAACGTGCACACAGGTGGTTTCACGGCATGTGCTCCAGTGCCAATAATTTCCATAATACCGCTCCAGTTCCTAGCCAGTGAGCTTTGATTCTTAAATGTACTGAGAACAGAAATCTCTATGTTTGAGTTATGGTTTAGTTATTTTTCATTTTTTGGCAGCACTGGGGTTTGAACTAAGAAGCTTACATTATGTAGGCAAGTGCTCGACAACTTGAGGCATGTCCCCAGTCCTTTTTGTATTAGTTATTTTTCAGATAGGGTCTTGTGCTAACTTTGCCCAGCGCTAGCTTTGTTCCTTGGTCATCTTACCTATGCCTCCCCCCTGCAACTGGGATTACAGACACAGGCTACTGTGCCTGGCTTGTTTGTTGAGATGGCGGTCTTGCTAACTTTTCACCTAGACTGTCCTCAAACTGTAATCCTCCTGATCTCTGCCTCCCAAGTAGCTGGGATTACAGGCATGTAGTCTATCTTTTTTGCTTTCTTTCTTCCTTCCTTCCTTCCTTTCTCTCTCTCTCTCTTTTTGAAAATTACTTAAATCTAAATTCTGCAAGGTACTTGAATGTTTCCCAGTTTTATAAACCATAAGAGACAAAGTCAAGGCCCCGAGAAGAAAGGAGGGCTGGGGAAGAAGGAAGATGCTCCGCTCTGGTTTCTTAGATACCAGATAACCCCATGTCACCTGACACTGATCTTCCCCACGGCTTCAGTGGATCTTCCTGGCTTTCTTCTCCTATATGTGCCAGGGACACCATTTCTTCCTCATAGCATTCTAATTTGCTAACCTATCTGGTTACAAGCCATATTTCTTGGTAATCAAGGGATGGAATGTGGTGTTTTCCACAATAGCTGAATAACCAAGATGGCCTCCCTCCTCAGTTCTCAGGAAAAAAGCCAGTGGATAGATATTTTCTCAAATTATAGTTTTGTCTATTAATGTTTTTCTTAAACCTTTAGTTCTTTCTTGTGTTGGTCAGATTTCATCATGGTAAAAATATCTGAGCTAGATTAACTTAAAGAAGGAAAAGACTTATTTTGGCTCACAGTTTCAGAGGTTTCTGCCAATGGTCACTTAGCTCCATTGCTTCTGGGTCTGTGTAGAGACTGAACACCATGGCAGGAGCAATGATGCTCACCTCATAGGAGACAGGAGGGAGGGAGAGAGAGAGAGAGAGGAAAAGAAAGAAAGAAGAGAGAAGCACCCACGGACCCACTCCCTTCAGCCAGGTCCTACCTCCTAAGTCTCCATCCCCTCCCAACAGCCCGTCATATTGTGAACCAATCAATGGATATGCCCCTTGATGAGGTCAGAGCCCTCATAACCCAATCTCTGCCCCAGATTGCTACCTATGAGCAGTGCTGCATTGGGGACCAAGCCTTTACCATATCAACCATGGGGACATTTCAGATCTGAACCATAACATTGCTATCACTTGCTCTCATCCGCTATCTGGGAAAACACCAAAATAAACCACAAATGAATACTAATGGAAAAAATTAGCAAAAAGTCAACAAGCAGGAATCATTATATTCCCCAAAAGGGATTCCTAGACAGAGCCCATAGTTCCCTTTAGGAGGACCTGACCCTGAGATAGAAGGATTTTTAAAGGGAGGTGACTTGGCTCATGAAGTCCTCAGGAAGTAAGGCAGAGATGTCAGCTGCATGTATGAGCAACCAAGCATTGTACGAATCAGCAAACGTCCGTAGAGCCTCATATGAACCAGGCCTTGTGTCAAGACCATCAGAGGTAATGAAAAAAATACAACCTCTCTTTCATGGAACTTAAGAGCCTATTGGAGAGAGAAGGCCCAGGAAGCAGCTAGGGACATTGTGGTCCAGTGCTGGTTGTTTATTATGGAGTGACAAGCCCTCAAGTGCTCAGAAGAGAGGTGGTGAGGAAGGTTGCAAAGAGGAGTTGAAGTTGAATGGCGAATGAGGTTCAATTAAACAGGCAGTCATTCCAAAACTCTTCAGTGTCACACACACGGAACTTCTGGTGGGAACCTTTTGGGGTGGGGGTGGGGGGGTGATTGCTCTCTGAAGGAAGCAGACTGGGGAGTGAGAAACCCCTGGCCAGTTCCCATGTCTTCCCCTCCCTGGCTGATTTTGGGCAAGTCCCTGGAGAGCTTTCTGTGTTGATTCAACACCCACCTCCATCCTCATCAATCATTGTCATGAAAATCAGTGTTTCCTGAGTAGCAGAGGCATTGTTTAAATCGGTTATCTGCAATCTTCTCTTAAGTCAGATGCTTAGCAAGTTGACAGGCAGCCCTCTTGGCCTGTGCTGCCCTGTCCCCTGGGACGACCTGCGCCTGCGGGCCTTCGCCCCTGATGTCACTTGTTTTTCACCAGTCTCTGTGTTGCCAGTGGAGTTGTGGGCTGGTTGTTGATGGTTGTCTATGCCATATAAATCAAAATGGAAGTAACTCAGCAGATTTGACCTCAGAGGACATTCTAGGCCATCTGAATTCAGGTGAATTTAGTAAACAAGAACAAGAGGGCCGAACTTCAAGTTCACATTAACGGCAATTTGTGGAACACCCAGTTTCATCAGATAATGGAGATGCAAAGACAAGCTATGAATTTGTCCATTAAAAACTAAAATGAGAAAGTTATTCAGCCAAGTGGGAAGAAAAGACCTAAAAACTAAATTCTATGGAGAGATTAAGGCAACATTGGACAGAGACGGGAGGGCTTCCTGAAAGAGGCGCCCAGCAAACTGGCTTCAGTGGATGAGTAGACATGAGCCGGAAGGTGGGAACGGAACTGGAGTCAAGAATAAGGGACAGAAGTCCGGTGGGGGGGGTGAGGGGCACGTAAGAACTTCAAGATGGTGGGAACTAAATGCCAGGGACTGTGTTCAGTTGTGAGTCTAACTCTGACTGCCTTAGAACAGCCAGGCATTGTTAAGATCCGCATTGCTTCATAGTTTTTCCTGGTAAAACTCTTTCAAGGCTATCTCTTCAGGTACTGAGAGGAAAAGAAAAAGATAATTGGGTAATAAAGATGTCTCAAGGCTAGTAACCTAATTGGAACTGGAAAAAGATTAGCACTTGATTCTCAGACTTACTCACATGGCTGCCAAACCCAAGATAGCATCTTGGGCTAGTTTTGACTGGTCAGCATGTGTAACCTATAGCGGGTTGGGTAAATTTAATCTTGCACGTTAGATGGGCCACGTTCACCCTCTATTCCATTTCTCTTGGCATTCATTCCAGTAGGATCCATGGTGTTTTGTAACAGGCTGAATGCATCTCATTATTCAGTGGTCCTCAGCTTTAATATGCAATTCTCATCCCTGAGAGGATTCAGATGGGTACCACCTCCCTCTCCCAATCACAGGACCTGGACAGGCCATCATTAGCTTTCACGTTAGAGGTCTCTAGGTTGTCAGCAATTCTGTGAAGTGGTTATGGGTTGCAAGCTGCTAAACTTCTGGCTGCCTCCTCAATAAAATACCTCATGGATACCTTATAGATTGTAGTATTAACTGAGCTAATGTCTATGAAACGTTTAGAACAGTACCTGCCACGTAGTATACAGACAAGGAATGCTAGCTGCCATATAATAATAATAATAATAATAATAATAATAATCTACAAGAGCTATGTCTCCAGAGAATCCAAACTATTATTTTTTTTTATTTTTGGCAGTACTGGAGTTTGAACTCAGGGCAGGCGCTCTACCACTTGAGCCACTCCACCAGCCAAACTTTTTTTTTTTAACTCTCTGCTTTACTATTATTGTTGTTATTATTGGAGGTACTGGGGCTTGAACTCAGGGCCTTCTGTTTGTTGGGAAGGTGCTAAAACACTTGAACCGTACCTCCACCCTTTGAAGGCCAAGATAGGTAAACTGAAAGTGAATTCTATAGGTTTCTGGGAGCCTGAGTTTCTCTCTTGGTTAAGAGCAGTCCTGGTGTGTATCTCAGAGCCTTGGCATTTGGGGCCCTGTTTGTTGTAATGGAACATTCTGGAAGGAGATTCGTGCTGGAGAATCCAAACTTGTTTCTCAGCTTTATGGGACTGTCATCAGTTATATGGTCCAGAGAGAGAGAAAAAAAATGGAAAATTTGTCCCAGTTCATGAGTCTGCCTAGGGTTTGCAGGGAGGTCAGGTAATTGCTAAAAAAATAGCAAACAGCAGCACGTTTTTTATGTCCTTCACAAATTATGCAGAGTGAAATGCTGGTAAGAAGGTTAGATTCAAATGGCCAGGAGTTTTGTGTTCAAATCCCAGCTCTGCTTGACCCCTGTTGATCCTGAGGAGTTCTCTTTGTAGGTACTTCCTGTCTGAAAGGGGGGAAGGGAAAAGGGTCCTCTGTGCTCTGACATCTGTGCCGTCTAGCCACACTGCCTGTCCCCCACCTGAGCCCCTCGGGGAGGAAGCCAAAGGCCCCGTCATCTTGACACCCTCAGATGACACCCTCGGCGAGAGCGCGTTTGAATGGCTCGTGAGAGCTCAGAGGAGGGCTGGCGGCAAACACAGCTTATACAAGCAGTTGGTGTGCTAGGTGTTTCTAAGAGGCAGAGGGAAGCATGTGACCTCAGGTTACCATGGGTGTCTGGCCTCTCTGGACGAAGGGACAGATCTGCCCTAGGAATGACGGGGAGGAGAGCCCCTGAGAAGAGGGCTGCGGGGTGCACACGGTGCACACGAGGGAGGGCTGCGCTTGGTGCTGGGTGGGTTGAGATAATGGCATGCACGTCTCAGTCTCAGGTGTGCAGGGAGGCAGGGGGCCAGAGGTCGACGTGGAAAGCAGCCAGGAGGGTAGTTATCTCCTAATTATTGCTTGCACAGGAATGTTTTATTCCATTTAGAAAATGGTCTGATTGTTTTGATTTTTTTTTTTTTCATGCTGTAGGAAAACAGCCAGGTGGGGCTGATCCCAGCTGTGTGGGTGGTGTTCTCTAATTGCTGGGCTGGACTTTCTTTTGCCAATTAGGTGACTTCCTTCGACCTACCCTTTTCTAAGTTGATTACTACATGGGGCAACTTACTTTTGTATAACCTCTTTCATATCCAGTGGAGCTGCTTTCAACATGTAAATTACGTCTTGGCACATTTAGGTGCTTTCAAAAGCCTCGCTCACACCAAAATCAAAATCAGATACTGACTTACCTGAAAAGGAATACAGGAATGTCTTTTCCCCAGAGGTGGTTTCTGTCAGCATCTGTACCTTGTTAAAGGTCCCTTCACATCTGTGTTAGCTGTCTGGGTGGAATCTAACAGATTGAGCCAATTGAAAGGAGGTGTTCACTGAGAATGGATGGTTCTCCTCAGACCTGTACACAACCAAAACATTAACTTGTAATGAATCACAGATCTAAATGTAAGACTAAACTATAAAAATCATGGACGATTTTTGCGACTTGGGTTATCCAACACCTTCTCAGATATACCAAAAGCACAAGCAACAAAAGAAAAATTAAGTAGGATTTCATTGAAATTCAAAACTGTGCTATAAAGGATATCATCAAAAAGGTGAAGGCTGGACGCGGTGGCTCATACTGTAATCCCAGGTACTTTGGAGCAGAGATTGGGAGGATCACGTTCCAAGGCTGGCTTTGGACAAAAAGCAAACCCTATCTGAAAAACAACCTAAAGCAAAAATGTCTGGAGGCATGGTTCAAGTGTAGAGTGTCTGCCTAGAGCATGCCCTGAGTTCAAAATGCCCAGTTCAAACTCCAATACCACCACCACACCACACACACACACACACACACACACACACACACAAATATGTATATATATGGAGAGAGAGAGAAAAGAACTCACAAAATGTGGGCAAATGTTTCAAAATCTTCTATCTAATAAGAGGTACAAATCCAGAATACTTAAAGAACTCTTACTACACAGTAATAAAGGCAGCCAAATTTAGAAAGGATACTAAAGAGTTGGAATAGATCTTTCTCCAGAGAAAACACACACTTGGCCAATAAGCATGTGGAAAGATTCTGAACCTCCTTAGTTATCAGGGAAGTTCAGATCAAAGCCATAAGGAGACCCCTTTGCACTTCCTAGGATAGCTGTAATAAAGAAGCATGACAAGGGGTGGAGAACTGAGATCCTCACATATTATTGGCTGAAGTGTAAAATGGTGCAGCTGCTTTGCAGAAGCAATGCTCAGTTACCCTAGAGTTGTTAGAAGATCCAGCAATTCCATCTCTGAGTTTATATCCCAACGATATGAAAGCAGGGACTTAAGGAGATGTTTGCACACTCCTGCATTATTCACAGTAGCCAAATGGTGGAGGTCATCCAAGCATCCATCTGCCGATGAATGAGGAAACAAACTGTGGTATATGCGTGAAATGGAACAGAGCTTTCTGATCTAGGCTACCACATAGATGAACCTTGAGAATTCTGTCCCAAGTGAAAGAAACCAGTCACAAAAGTCCACATGTTATATGATTCCATTGGTATGAAATGGCCAGAAGAGGCAAATCTATAAAGAAAATAAGTGCAGTGGTGGTTGCCTAGGACAGAGGGGAAGGGGTTGGTGGGTGTTGAGTTTCACTAACTGTACTAAAGTGTACTAACTGTACTAAAAATCACTGAGTTGTGCAATATAAAGGGATGAAATGTATGTGAATTTTATCTCAAGCCTGTTTTAAAAAGATCTGTGGTTTGATGAGTTAATACGCTCATCTTAAAGTCCAGCGGCTGGAGGTCCTTCGCTGTTCTTAAAGGAAACAAACTATTTCAGTGAACATGCACTGGCCACACAGGAAGCTCTTAGTAATTAAATGTTCTTAGGAGAGATGCAGGATTGGCTTTCAGGATGCTGCTATGCAAGTGGGGACCATAACATTAAATATGTGCTGTAGTCTGGATCTGGGATGTTCCTCAAAGGCCCATGTGTTGAAGGCTTCCTCTCCAGCTATTGGGAGGTAATGAAACTTTTAAGTGGAGGAAATTAGGCCATTGGTGGTGGTGGTGGGGGGTGCCTTTGAAGGGGATATTGGGATCCTAGCTCCTTCCTGTCTCTTTTTGCTTCCTGGCCACAGTGAGGCAAACTCCTTCCTCCACCACAAGCTCCTACCATGATGTACTGCCTCAACTCAGGCCCCAGAGCAATGGGCCAACTGACCATGACAGAAGCCTCTAGAACAGTGAGCCAGAAGAAATCCTTCCTCCTTATAAGTTGATTTATCTCAGGTATTTTGTCACAGAGATATAAAGCTGACTAACACAGCATGTAAATAGCAATAAGTATCTCCCACCCCCAGTTCTCTGTGCAATTCAAGCCCTCCCATAGCCCTTCTCACTAGTTACCCAGAAAATCAACTACACTGAGCCAGGGCTTGGAACTGATGGAGGAAGGACTGCCTGTTGCATTCCCAAGTAAAATATAAATATTTAAAAAACGATCCCTGCCTATTTCCTGGGATTCTTGTGTAGATCACAAATTAGGATAAAAATGTGAAATTGTTTCAAGAATCGGGGACAGGAATGAGGGAGAGTGATGGTGGGAGTGAGCCTAACCAAGGTACATTGTAAGCTTATATGAAAATGTCATCATAAAACCCCTTATTAGATGCTAATGAAATGTTTTTAAAAATAAATATTGGAACAATAAATTTTAGATGACTGAATGAAATAAATGTGTAAATCCTTTGATACTAGCAAAGGCTATTTGGGGTGTGATTCTTTTGCCTACTTTGTATCTTTCTTCAACTCCATGGAAATGTTTATTGAGAAAGGTTGGTTCATTCCTTACTAGTTGTCAGTTGCCTGAGACGTGCTGGGACTTAGCGGGAGGGACAGGCAAGCGAACATGTGGTGACAGCATCTATGAAAAGTGCTCCCAAGGCGGGTGGAGGAGAGAGTTTCACTGACTTAGGGGAGCAGGGCAGACTCCCAGGAGAAGTCAGCCAGAGAGATGCATGTTTTGAGCAGAGGAAAGCTGCTGTCACTCAGGAACGGTTCTGGCCCCCTCATGTCCGTATGTGTTGATCCTTCTCACCTTATTCCCATTTTACACATTAGAAAAATAAGGCGCAGATTCCCTAAAGGGCTTTCCCGAAGACAAAGCTCTAAAGTAGCAGCGTTAGAACTTCATCTAGTTTTCTTACCTTCACAGCTAGAATACTTTCTATAATGTCCTATTACTGCTTTGAGCAATACAAGGCTATGTGTTTTATAACATCTCTTTCTGAGAACAGAAAAACTTATACATGATCTTTGTTGACAAGTTAGAAAATACAGAAATAACACAAATGAAGAGGAAAAGCTATCCATGATCCTGACACTGCAAACTAGGTTTGTGTAGGTGCCTAGCCTCCAAATTGGGCTATGATAATAACGTATTTTTCAAAAAAAAACGTATTCATATTTCCCACTCTCCTAACTCATTGCAATGGCTACCACGTATTCTTTCTTTGGGATGTGTTAGAATTATCTGGCTGATTACATGGCTGAACCTTGAGGGGACCCCTCATGTGTTGTAATGATATATTGAGCTGAGTAGTTCTGCAGATCTGCTTCAATCTCAGATGAGTTTTGAGACTTTCTCCTAAGTTGTTTCTGTGTCAAAAAAGGAATGACCATCCGAATGGTTCAGATTTGAATTCTCAGATTGTTTTTAAAAGGTGGTACCGATTATACTTGCACACTAGTGTGTTTGTCCTCTTGCTCGCTGTTGTCCTTTTAATTTGTCAATGTGATAGTTGTCATCACTTTAACATTTTCATTTTCATTTCTTTTCTTACCAAAGTTGATTGTTACGTGTTTATGATCATGTTTTTAAATACTAAAATACATGACACTGACTGAAAGTTCCTCAAGCATGGAGGAAGCCATCTTTGTAGATCAAAAGGATGGGTTAGAAATCCATTTGGCCAAACCCTGCAACTTTGCTGCTGGGAAGAAAGGACTTCCATGCTGTGTGAGGTTGTTAAGGGAAGCAGAAAACTGAAGGGAAGGAGTTACCTCTTGGATTCCATAACTTGTCCTGTGTTCTCACATAGGTCCTTAAAGGTGGACAGGAGGCACCCACGAAGCCCAAGGGTCGTCCAAGAAGAACTCTATCCCCACATCAGAAGAGATTGAAGCTGAAGAAAAAATGAACAGCCAGGCTCAGATCCAGGAGCGGCTGGAGCCCTTGCAGGGACAGGAGGAACCCTGTGATGCTCAGGAACCCAAAGCATGCCATGTCCCCTTGGAGGTGGCAGAGCCACCAGGCCAGCCCCAGGAGTTGACAATAGCCTCTTCTGAACCCCCACCATTAAGCTAAAGTAAAAATGTGGGGGGAAAGGGGAGACTGGGAAGAAGGGAAAAGAGAGAAGACAGGGAGATCCAGGAGAGAAAAACCCCTGGCAGCCTGGCAAAGGGTGGTAGGGGGGACAAAAGCCCCACTCGTCTCCCTCCCTCCCAGTGGATTTCCATCACAAGTCACTGACAAAGACTTACTTGCCTTGGCCTTTCTCTTCCTGGAGGGCGTGTTTGTCACAGATGCCTTGATTGAGGTAGATGGCACCTTGGAGCTATCTGCCTCAGCTGTGGGGTGAATATGTGCAGCCTGCTCATGTTGGCCGGTGCCATGCTGGCTGCAGTGGAGGGTTACTCTCTTCCCTCCATGCCACCCTCTGGGCAGCCAGTCATCAGAGCAGAGAGAGGTGGAGGGACCTGCCCAGGCTCCTTCCTGCCTCGGCACTTATTTCTGTAGTTTTAAAAGAGAATTTAAAGTTTTGGGTTTTTTTTTCTCTGGGTGGGGGGGATTGGTAAGGACAGGCAAAAAGGAGTTGGAGGAAGGCAGTTGAGAGTGATTAGAAATGTTTCTGAATCCCGTTTGTTTGGAAACGTGTGCCTTTGTACCTATTATAAGATGGTCAGGTGACCCAAGGACTGATAAGCCTTCTTTTTCTTGCTTCATTAAGTTGCCATCCGTGAAGCTGCAAATGCAGATGTGTTAAGATAACTTTTATTTTTTAATTAAACATAAATCTTACAAAAAGATAAGAGTATTCTGTTTTTTGGGGGGAGGTAACTAACCCTACCCAAATGTCTCCTATGGAAAGAGATAAGCAGGTTTGCTGGCCTTCCCTTCCCCATCTAGAACACAAATGGTTGGGCCAGTCCAAATTCAGGGAGCAGTGGGGGGAGGGAAGGGGCAGGGAAGCTGCTCTGCATCTTAGACTTGCAAATCTAAAGCTTGCTTGATTTTTTTGAAAAGATAATCCATTTTATGCTTTGAAAGTGAAAACTTTGTAAAAAGAAGCCTTGCTTCCACCCCATCCCTTACAGGCAATCATTTTCATGGTTTCTTGGTTATCCTTCCTGTTTTTCTTTGTTAATTATCCATTTGGATGATGGGCTCTGCAACTTTTAACAAAAGAAGACTTGAGAATGGCTTGACTAGATGTACTCAGTGATTTTTTTTATATTTAAAACTGGTGTTCTGGGCTGGGGATGTAGCTCAGTGACAGACTGCATGCTTAGATTCTGTCCCCAGCACCACATAAAACAAACAGCAAAACCAAACCACTCCCCCAAAAGGTAAAAGCAATGACCCACTTTTAACTAAGACCCAGATTTCCTACCAAGAGGGCTCTGCCACATATCCGTCTGGCTGTCATGAATTCTGGCTCAGATGCCAGATTCCTAGGGGTCACCATTAGGGTTGTTTCCCTCGATGCCTGCAGGACACAGTGCCCAGTTAGTGGATGGCCAGTCATCAATTACACAGTCATTCTGCCAACTGGGGGGCTTGGAGAATACCACTCAGGGGCCTCAACTAGGATGTGGAACCTGTTCCTTGTTCTGTGGAACAATCATATAATTCATTTCAGTGCTAAACAGGAAAGCTCTGCCTATTTTCAGTCAACTGGCTGCCAGCTTCTCTTCATTAACACAGATAGCCAGAAAGTGACTGTAACTTTGCCACTGCCAAGGCAGCACCTTCATCCCGCCTTCATCCCTCTACTATTGGGATCAGCGAAGAGAGAGCAGTCTTTTTCCTAACTCTGTGAATAGACAAAGGAGTTAAGGACTTGGCTTCAGAGAACCAGTTTGCACAGACCCACCTAGCTGCCCGTGCAAGGTTGCTTGTACCGAGCATGCAGAAAGCCGTCTCCCTCACCTCCAGTCCACCCTACCGTACAGTTTTATGATCTGCCTACCAGGTAGTGTCATAATGAGCCAAAGAGTGTACACAATGGCCGTGGTAACACAGGTGGATCTGGGCCAGGTCAGTCTTGCTCCTAAGGAGCTGTTCTGTCCTGCTCTCCTCACCTCAGAAAGGCCTTTCATTTGGAAGCTAATTTCCTATGATGGTTTTTGCTCTGGCCCTGTGCTCTCGTGACGCCCTTTTCTGTGGTGTGTGATAGTGACTGTCACCTCTTAGATCTATGTGGACATATACACATGCTGGTATTTCTGTGTGCTGAGTTCTAGGTAATCCTGACTTGCAGCCTATACTCCTTGGCCAGTCCTCTTCAGCTTGTTTCTTACCCCTAGGGGCTGAAGACATTTTGCTGGTGAATTTTAAGACCTGGGATAATCCTCCCTTGTGTTTTGTAAAGGCCCAGCCCAAGGTTACCTCCACTTATAAGCTTTTGGTTTATCCTCCAGCCTCAGCTCTTCATGGCTTTGCTTGTGACTTCAAAAAGGGGCCAGGATGGGCTGACAAAATTTTTTTCATTGACAAACATTACCCATATTTATGGCATACGTGATGTTTTAAAAAGGTAAAGTAAAAGTGAAAGCTATGTAAAAAGAAGTCTTACTTCCATCCCATCCCTTATAGGTAATCATTTTTATGGTTTCTTGGTAATCCTTCCTCATTTTCTTTAATTATCCTTTTGGATGACAGGCTCTGCAACTTTTGATAAAAGAAGATTTGAGAATGGCTTGACTAAATGTACTTACTCAGTGATTTTTTAAATTTAAAAGCAATGTCCTGGGCTGGGGATGTATACATTATGGAATGGCTATATCAAGAAAATAAACATACACATTTTCTCACCATTTATTTGTGATCAGAACAGGTAGGATCTACTCTCAACAATTTTCGATTTTGTAATGTACACTAGATCTTTTGAACTTATTTCTAACTAAAATTGTGTATCTTTCACCCAACATCTCCCCAGTCCTTGTCTCCACCTCCAATTCTACTGTCTACTTCAACGACATCAACTTTTTTAAGATCCTGCATATACGGGAGCACACATCTCCTATACTGGTTTATTTCACTTAACATCGCGTCCTTCGGGTCCATCCATTTTGTTCCAGAAGACAGGATTTGCTCCTCTGTGACTGAATAACATTGCATCATGTTCAAACACCACATTTTTTAATTCATTCATCAGTTCATGAGCACTTAGTTCAGCCCCTTGTCTTGCCCGTGTGAATATTATTGCAATGAGCAAGGCAATGCAGCAGTCTCCATAATATATTGATTGATTTTCTACATATTTATGCCTAGTAATGGTGCTGCTGGATCATATAATAATCTAATTTTTAATTTTTTAAGGAAAGGCTCCCTGTTGTTTGTGCCTGGCTTGTGAGCCAAGCCCTGCTCCTTCAACTCCATCTTTCCTTTTTCTCTCCAGTGACTGGCACAACTTGTGACTGGCAAGACTTGTGACCAGCATCCAGCAACCAGTTTCACCAGTTTCCTCCAAAATGTGAATACAAGGTGGTTCCATGCAGGGTCTGGAACAAGTATTCAGTGACCCCCCCAGCATGGAGGCACTTACTTTTCTCTACAGCATCTCTCTTGGGGGCTCTTGACTTGTTTTCACATGGTCACCTTTGCAAGCCTTACGAAACGAAAATGCTCTCTCCCTTCTCCAGGATGGTGACCTCGAGGATTCAGGGTTTTATTTGCAGAGGAAGGAAGGGAGCTAGGCAAGTCCTCTAGGATCTCTACTTGGAGAAGCTGGCTGGGAGAGACTTTGGCTCTTCTCTTAGGAATGTCTGCTCTGGGAGGCTCGGAGAGGAAGCCCTTGTACACAGTTTGACCTGCTGCTGCTCCTCGGACTGTTTCTTCCAAATTTATGCAAGCCATTTAATCACAGAGAGGTTAATATCATTCCCTGGAGCCTGCAGTCTCTTGGGAGAGGTGCTGAGAACCGAGCCCAGGCCGATTCCCTGCAGGGTCTCTCTCCTCAGCATGACCCCTCTCCTCTCAACACTGCCTGTAAGTGAGTCCCAGTGCAGGGGCTCAGAGGGGATCTCCAGGCTCTGATCCACCATGTTGCAGCTTCTCTTTTAGAGAGCAAAGGGTTCCCCATCAAGTCTCAGGCTGCCAGTAAGCACCCAAGTTCACCTGTCTAGTTTGTTCTGAGTTACTGTGCACTCTGTTTACATGTCGTCATTTACACAGGTTTGCTAGGACACAACTCCCGCCCTCACTGGACTCAGACAGTAATCAAATGGGTCTCGTGGTATGAGCCATAAGCCCTCATACTAGTCTGAACAGATCTGTCAGAAGCCAGCCTTAGGTAGGCCTGTCTTGAGTTTTTCTAGAACTGTCTCTTTACATCTGAGGAGTTGACTGTCCCTTTTAGGACCTTTCAACCTCAGCTGTTGGCCTTGTCTCTCACCCCTGGCCTGCGCCTGGCTTAGATCTGGCCTGTAGGGTCTGGAGCTCTGTCCTCAACAGAAACAGTGACTTGTCTGCCCAGATGGAGTTGACAATTTTGCAGAAAATGAGGAGGGACACAGTGGTAAAGACCCAGTTTGCTGAGAGCTCTCCCACTGTCTCTCCTGTGGCAATTTCTGTGGGCTCTTTCTCATTCTTACCCATTACCGGAAAGGAACCATAGAAGGGCAGGAAGTGTTGGGGTCAGAGAACTGCAATGCTCTTTGGCCCAAAACTCGTTTCTCAGGATTTCTAGTCAGTTACCTGCCTACTTTTTTGTGAAAAGCCCTAAGTGTCTAGGGCATTTTGTGTAAAACTCCCCTTCCACACCCCTCACTGCTCTCTCCTTGATCTCCTTTGTAGAGTGTTTCGTCCTTTTTGGGCACAGTAACATCCTTCCTCCTGTTTGGACCCTGGGAATCCAGCTATGAGAGGCTGGGCCTTTGCTGTGGACTGGGTCCTTTCTCCTCTTCCTCACACTTCAGCACAGTAGTCTGAAGTCACCTCCTGCTGCTCCTGCACTGGAGCCCCGCTCCTTAATTAACTCACCTCTTCTCCAGCCCTACCTGCTAATTGCTCTCTCCTTCTGCCTCTTCCTCTCAAGCACCTTTCATAGCTAGTAGCTACTGTTGTGGTCCTGCCATTTTATC